TTTAGGGTTTAGAATTAGGGTTTCAGGATTTAGGGTTTAGGGTTTAAGACTTAGAAATAGGGCTTTAGGGATATAGGGATGTAGGGTTTGGAATTAGGGTTTAGGGTTTAGGGATTTATGGTTTTAGGGTTTAGGGATTAGAAGAGTTTTTTGAAGGATTGGAGGTTTAGGGTTTTCGGGTTGAAGATTTCTCTGGCAGGATTAGGGGCTTAGAGTGTTAGGGTTGAGGAGATTCTCGAACTAAACCCTAAACCCTAAATTCCAAACAGATACGCCGCCGACGCGAGATCCTGACACTAAGGTACCCAGACCCCCAGGAGGATCTAGAAAGTAGAACCCCTAATTTGAGACCCCCAATACTAAAATGGGTACTTTGTAGGAACCCATTAAGGACTTTCGAGATCCTGACGGTGGTCGGGGTATCCCAGAATGCCTCAGAAGCTTCAAAGAGCCGCCAGCTCACAGCACTTTCGCAAGTCGATTGTAAGTAGGGTGATATGGTAGAATACCACCAATCATGGTGCTCTTGAATCGCCTGAGTCACTCATCCTCCAAGTACCTAAAGTAGGGGCCTGAAAAATTGAGATATTTTTGGTGGTATATTTGTTCTCTCTAATTATCCTTAGAAACCCTAAGGAAGACTATTACTACTTCTTCCGAGCCCTATACTAGCTGTTACTAGCTTGGCCTTTTAAAGCCTCTGAACAATATTCGCCAAAAGGATCCTCTTAAGCACAGAGAGAAATAACACAACGTATCCAAAAGGTCTATATCAGAAAAATCAGGAACCCTTAGAAAATAGCATTACTAGTTGAGCCGAGCCCGAGTTCATCCGATAGAAACTGAGGACTTTGGCCAAGAGGTCAGCGGTAATGGCCCCTCCGGCATGACGCTCAGGGTATCCTGCGGTTTTGGGCTTGGGCCTTACACGGTTTAGGGCTTAGGGCTTATAGCGCTTATATTGTTTAGGCTAGGGTTTAAGGCTCAAGGCTTTTAGGGTCTATATGGTTCATAGGGTTTGGGGTAGGGTCTAGTGCTCTTGGACGTACTGCTGTCCAAGGGGCGTGGGCTCTGGTTGCCTGTATATAGGAGAAACGGATCTAGCAGTTATGGGGTTAATGGGGCTGAGACGTTAAGTATGGTGTAGTTTAGGGTGATTGAAAGGTTTAGGGATTGGGGCGGCTACGGCTTTAAAGTTAATTGTGGACTGGGGTTTGGAGAATTTTAGGTTTGGAAATGGGACGTCAGCGCCTTTTCAGTGGCACGGCCAATCCTAAGCGTCAGCGGTCGACGCACAGGGGAAGCGCACATCATAGCATTATGAACCTGTCGCAGCTGTAGCTACACGCTGACCAAAGCCCATCGCGAACATCAGCCGTCGCCTGTATGCCGTCGCCATCACGGTTGCCTTCTTGGCGTCGTGGACAAGCAACTGTGTTGGAACTACGAACCTCATAAACCTGATCACATCCCCAACCATTGCCACAAATGTCCCGGTCGTGAGCATCAGCCGGTCGCCGTCTCAGACATGGCACAGACAAGCAAGCATCGTCAGCATCAGCCAATCGCTGTCTCAGCCATTGCACAGAAATGCAAGCCTTCCGAGCATCAGCCCATCGACCTCGAAGTAGCGCGCAAAACACGGCGCGCATCATGAGCATCAGCCGGTCGGCCCCTTAGGGACGCGCAGAAACAACACCGAATCATGAGCATCAGCCGGTTGCCGTCTACGGACAAGCCAGCATCGTCAGCATCAGCGGGTCACCGGCTCAGCCATTGCACGGAAGCAGTGAGCGCATCAGCACGTCCACCTCAAAGTAGCGGGTAAAACACGGCGCTCCTCATGAGCTTCAGCCGGTCGCTCCCGAGCACACGCAGAAACAGCGCCGCATCATGAGCATCAGCCGGTCCCCGTCTCAGCCATGGCCGAGACAAGCAAACACCGTGAGCATCAGCAGGTCGCCCTCTCGGCAAGAAACAAAAACACACCGCTCGCATCATGAGCATCAGCCGGTCTCCATCACACGCACAGAAAATAAGCGAGCATCGTGAGCATCAATCGGCCGCCCCTTCGAAGACACGAAGAAACGGGCCTGCATCATAAGCATCAGCCGGGCATCGTCTCAAAAAGACGACACAGGCAAGCATCATGCACAGCTGGCCGCCCTCTACCAAAACAGACCCGCGTCATGAACATTGGCAGAAACAAGCCCGCATCATGAGCATCAGCTGGACGCCCTTTCAGTGACACACAGAAACAGGCCCGCATCATGAGCATCAGCGGGGCGCCGTGTCGGCCATGGCAGAAACAAACCAGCATCATGAGCATCAGCCGGCCGCCCTCTCAGGCAGACACAGAAACAGGCACACATCATGAGAATCAGCCGGTTGCCCTCTCTGGTGCACAAAAAAACGCCCGCGGCATGAGCATCAGCCTGTCGCTGTCTCAGCCCCTGGCACAACACGGCGCGCATCATGAGCATCAGCCTGTTGCCCTTGCAGCGGCACCAGCCTCATCAGGCCGCCCTCTTGGCATCATGAGCATCCGCCGGTCGGCCTCTGCAGTGCCTCTCAACCAGATCTGCCGATTTTGACTTCCGGAAAAAGCCGTGCCTAAACCCTAAACCCCTAAACCCCTAAACCCTAAACCCTAAACCCTAAACCCTAAACCCCTCAGACAAAAAGCCTTTCTCGCCGTGCATGAAAAGCTGTGGCCAGTGGCGGCAGATGTCCAAAACCAGGGCCAGCACCCCGAAGCCCAAAAGAATAATACATCCAGTAGTTAGGCCCTAACCCTAAACCCTAAACCCTAAACCCTAAACCCTAAACCCTAAACCCTAAATCCTAAACCCTAAACCCTAAACCCTAAACCCTAAACCCTAAACCCAGTTAGGGCTGAGGGTTCAAGGTACAGGGAAGCTTCCGCAAAGCAAGGAGAAGCACCTTAAAGAGTCTGTGGGTAATTATCTAGATTCAGGTCCCTGTTAGAGTCGTCAGATAAGGGTGCCTTTTTGGGTCCTTAAAACGGGCCCCCTACTTTAAAGAACTACCCTTGTGAAGCAACCAGACCAACAGTCGGAACCACTGCCTAAACGGAGAGCCCTTCGGCCCACGACTGTCACACAATGTAATCTCGAAGCTGCATCCTAAAGCAGGAGACGGCCCGTCGGCTTCGCTATTAAGGGTGCCCTAGACTAGACCCTAACCCCGAAACCGGGTGGTTCGCCCAGCCTCACTTAAGCCTCAATTGCAATCATTCCTAAGCGCAGCGCTCTTAGGACCTGAAGAAAAGGTGCCCCTAGATGCGACCCTATGATATCCAAACCACCCAGTCCTCAGACACCTTCCCGGAAGAGGAAGATGAGGAGGAAGTGTTGGAGGTTTCCAGACTGGCGACGAGAGGATCCAGCCTCCGGCCCATGAAGGCAATAAGGATGTGGGCGAGTAAGGTTTCGGGTTTCAGGTTAAGGGTTTACCGAGAACCCCCCACTACCTGCTATTATACCTCAAGTACTCTTCGGGTAGGGCCATCAAAGCCTTGAGGCCTCACTTGGGTTTAGCGCCATTACTGGGTTCTTGTGAAGGAACTTAATTTGAATCACCATAATAGGGAAACCATTTTTTACTATAGATTCCTATCATGGCAACGTAAGTTACATACGTTCCTTGGCAAGAACCCGGATTAAGAGACTTCTGTCCCGCAGTAGGGATAGCAACAGGCATCCTAATATGAAGGCTCTTATAGATTCTTGTTGTGAGTGCTAGGATTCCGGGTTTCGCATGTAAATCTAGGAAATCTAGGGGACAGTGCTGACGGGGGTCCGTCCGTGGGGCATACCCCTAAACCCTAAACCCCTAAGCTGTCGGTCTCAAACCGCTCATGAATCTTCTCTGGTCTTGGCCAGTGGAAAACTTCGACTCGCCCATTGTGTGAGGGAGTTCAACATAAGGGCCTTAATAATCAGAATAGGGTTTGGGGCTCCTTTATAGTAGGATTGAAATAAGGAACCTTAACGGTAATATTGGTAGTTATTTAGGCTTCCATATTATGTTGAGCTGCTGTTGCATCGTAGCACCACTATAACTTATAGCACCCTTGATGAGAATCACACAATCCTTATGAACAACTGAACACATGCGTCTATAATTGTTACAACACCCTCGTAATAAAAAACCTTCTTAGCATGCTTCTATGATCCTCAGAAAAGCCTTCTGGTATGAAACAAAGCATCCACCCAGTAGCCGGAACTCGATACACAATCTACCTTTTCTTACGGAAAACTCGTCAACATCTCGAAATTAAGATCCAGGGCTGAGGGGCTCAACGGTTACAGACTATAGGGCTTCGTATGATGGCTTAGGGAATGTTCCTCAACTAAAGGGAAAACTGCGCCTGGAGCGGCAAGTTACGCAGGCGACACGATGCTTCAGCGCCGCAGCTGTCGGCGCCTGGGCAGGTGGTTGGGGCTTTTGCTGAAGGAGCTTTTTCATGTTTCATCTTCACGACTTAGGGGGTTGAGGGGCTCAGGCAGTTTAGGAGGAGGGTGTAAGAGTGTAGGACGAAGTTGACTCTATTCCTGCCCGCCAGCGTCGGCATGGGTCTGGGGTCGAAGGCTTTAAGGTGCCAGCGGTTGACTGGGTCTGGAGTTGCGGAATGAGGGATGACTTCAGTGGACCGAACATCTCGGAAAGAGAAAGCCTGCGGCACGGATTTCATATCCTTGTGCTGGGGGCCTAGAGGTTCAGGGTTTAGGCCTAGGCCTAGGCTTCAAGGGTCCATGCCGCCTCGGAGGCCCAGGGCACTCAGGCAGGGTTATAAGTACCCTAAACGCGACATGCTATCAGGTTGGCGAAGACGGGTGCTGTCAGCATCTGAAGAAGAAAGGGAGTACTTCGGCCTTTTTGTTGAAAACAGCGTACTTCAGACACCCTTTTAGACCGTATCATTCCCTGGAAGGGCTTCGGAGTTGCAAGAGTTTTGGAGCAGTGCGGCTTTTCCTTCACTCGTCCATGTAAGCAGTCCGAATGTTCCGAGTCTTCAGAAACAGTGGCAGGCTCGGATCGTACATCCGATGGGGCAGTGCAAGCGGCTCCCCAAAGATGATGTGCCAAAGGAACATCCTGGAGCCACTTATGGGGTTTAGGGTTTATGAGGGTCAGGGTTTAGGTTCGAGCAGTTAAGGTCTGATAGGCGTGTAGGAGTAAGCTCTAGGATACTGAAAGTCGCGTCGGCTCCCTAGATTGGCTGTGCCGAGCCCGAGCTCCAAGGAGGTCGAACTGTAGATCCTATAGAGAGTCAACCCTCAACCTTAAAGCCTTAACCTGGAACTGCGAACACTATACCTTAAACCTGCAGGGTCTCTAAAAATTCGGTATTAGGGTTCAGATTGGGCAATTACAAAAAAGCAGGTTCTGGTGGGCTAAGGTAAACCCTCAAACCTGCCGAGGGTCATATTCTGGCAAACTAGCCGGCCCTTCATGTCATGCTCCGCCGCGCGATGCTGGCGGGTTACCAACCAGGGAGCCGGCAAGTAGAAGTAGCTCTCCTTGGCGCAACCATGGCATTCAAGGGCTCACAACCGCATTCTAGGATCTCATTGGGTTTTGATGCATGGGCCAGAGTAATTAAAAATCGGGTTTTGGGGATACAAGGGAAGCATTTTGCAGTATACGTTGTGTAAGCAGCAGGGCTTACATGTGACTCTGGGAAGAATCTAAACTCTGCACCTTGCAGACGCTCCTACAAAACGGCCTGGAACCCCGAACAGCAAAATTTAGCACTATGGAATATGGGCTTCATTGGGTTATGCAGGGTTCTTGGCCGGCTTCATAGAGCCCATGTACCCACGTAGTGTATTCTTTGGCCTGCAACAACCTTCCTTAAGGCTCTAAGGACTCATAGTTTAAGGCTTTTGGGCCCAAAGACCATACTATATAAGGCTTTTGGGCTATTTTAAGCCTTAGGGAACCAAGTCTCAGGAGATGTGAGGAACTTCAAGGCCTGATCGTAGAAGCTTTTCGGACGCTGCAAGACCCGGTCCCGGGACACCACCTGAGTCTCCAAGCTCGTGGGTCCAACAATAAGTCTAGCCATACAGTTTAGGGCAGTGTGTTGCCAGAACATGCATGCTGCATGTCCCTTACCCGAAACCCTAAACCCTAAACCCCCAAATCCTAAACCCTAAACCCTAAACCCAAACCCAAAACCCTAAACCCAAAACCCTAAACCCAAAAAACTCTCGGGCAACTGAGCCACGAAATGGGAGCAGCAGTAGGTGCTCACCTCCCCGGCCGCCGGTGCAAGGCTGCTCTTGAAGAGGCCCTTCCAAAGCGGAGTCATGACCTTTGAAGCAAAGACTCTAAGGGCTTTTGGAGGGACCCTTAATAGGGACCCTTGTAGGTTATTGGGGTTAATATGGAGACTACCTGGCTATATCAGGGGTATATGAGGACTATACAATGGTTATTGAAGGCAATGGGATTAAGGGGACTCTATTAGGGGTCCCTCCTAAAGTCCTGAGAAAGACTCTCCCTCAAGCATCCGCAACCCGTAACCCCCTCGGTAACTGGTCTCAGACTAGGGTTTGGGTGCGTGTTGCCATGGATTTGTGGCGGTGGGGCTGTAATTTATCGGATAGTGTAGAAGCCTCAAGAATTAGAATAGGGTTTTGGGGGTATCTTATACTATAGTTATAATCAGGAACCCCCAAAATAGTATAGGTAATTAGTGGGGTCCCTATAGTACTGCATTTATTCACTCCTGTTAAATCTAAGCCCTCAATACCCGAGGCACATCAGAGTTCCATCGCATCGTGACGCGGTTGTTGCCCAGGTGGGCGAAAGGGACATGTGCTCCGTGCGAGAGAGACCGCAGCGTGTCATCAACCTTGGGCCAAGGATTTCTGAAAAAGCAACTCTTGGCCTTCAAACCACGAACTACACATGAAGGCCAAAGCATAAGCAAAGCCTCGCCACGATGTTCGGCCTCCCAGCACCGATATGTTCCGGCATGTCAGCATGTACGAAGACCATGTGCCGGGGCAGGTCGTAATACTTTTCGGACAAGTAGCCTCGGGTTTAGGATTTCGAGATGGGAGGCAGGCTTCAGAGCTTTAAGAATGGGTGTCTGCTGAAATAACTGAATTTGTACAAACCCTCCTTTGCTCGATCTGCTTCTTGTTGCTCGCTGCTGTTGCGCTAAAAGAGTACTTCTTTGATCAGTAGCCCAGATAAGCTGAGCACTCGTCAGCACGCAGTGGCAAGTCCTCGACGTCGACTTGCTCAACAGATCTCCAGAGTGACCGGAAGGGAACGGCACCGGCAGCATCCACGTCGGAGCACTTGGCTACGACCACCACGTCCACAGAAGGCATCACCTTTCGACTGAATGATGCATTCATCCACTGCAGGTTCTCCCGGCAGTAGCTCAGCACCTCAAGTCAAAACCAGCCGCCCTAAACCCTAAACCCTAAACGACACCTAAACCAAAAACTAGGCACCGAACATCCCAGGACGAAATGTAGCTTACTCTTAAAACCAGGAGCCCTTACGTACTACCTACAGCGTCCTAGTCTCAGTCTCCAATGCAGTTCTTGCTGGTTGCTGTTGCTTTACCAGAGGGCACATGGTAAGAACTCCACTTTAAAGGTGGATAACTAGTAACTAGAAACAGGAACTAAATTGGAGACTACGCCAGGCACCAGCGTCACATCGGGAAAGCGCTTGAAACGGCGCTGGCGGGCCTGCCGGGGTCTTAGGGCTCATATGGTTAAGGGTACAAATAGAAGTTCTGCATTTTGGGCTGCGCAGTTTTGATGAGTTCCGGAGAGGTTCAGGGCAAAGAGGGAAGGTCTCGAAAATACCGGTACTTCCAAACCGCCGGTGCGACCAACTGCTGCCATATGCTGCCATTATGTCCGAGTCTTGCTATAGTTCAGGATTAACCCTAAACCCTGAACCCTAAACCGTTTAGGGTTAGCGGGTTAGGGTTTAAGGCTAAGGGTTCGTACACAAGACTTCCTTCACTCGCTTCTGGAAGATGAGGGACCCTAAATCCGAAAACCATGACACGGAACTGACACGACAGCACCTGAACCCCCCCCCCCCCCCCGCAACAACAAAAAAACTCTAGTCTGGCTTTCGGGACCACCAATGGCAAAACGACAAAAACTGCTGAGTCTCCAAGATCTTATTAAGGAACACCTATAGTAACCCGACCATACCCCGTATAGTAACCCTTATAGACTAGAACCCCGTGAAGAACCCTCAAAGGAACCCTACTTGTTCAGTCTCCAAAGGATCAAGCCAGAGTTTCGGCGCTCGGGCGAGGGGCTCCCAGCTTCGGATCTGAGGAAATGCGGCATGTAGGGTTTATAGGGTCTCGGGTCTAGGCTTTAGGGAAAGGTCGGAGGGTGGAATTCAACTAAGGCGACAGCTGGAACCCAAGTTCCAAAATGACGGCTCAAAAGAGAAACACCCTAAACTTACCCTAAAACCCTCAACNNAACCCCCGAACCCTAAACCCTGCACCGCAGAACCCCGACCCGAAGGCACAGAACGCAAACCCAACAACTCTTATGCCCTGAAATCCTAAAGCCTACAACCCTACACCAGCAACCCCGAAAGCCCAACACACAACGCCTAAAACCCCCCTAAAAGCCCTTCATACAACCGTCAAGAAAACTCTTGGACAGCCCATGGACCCTTTTTTGTAATCCGGCGAAAAGGATCCCTAGACCCCCAGAAGAGCCCCTAAAACCCTCAGAAGGAGACCTTCGTTCGGGCGTGGCCACGAAGCCGCTCCAGACCCTCCTCTAAGGGCCACGCCGCCAGATCCTGATGAGCGACAGGGCATTTCTAGGCCCTGGGAGGAGGCCAAAGGGGAGTTCTCCTGTCCCTTGTTCAGGAAAACCAAAATAGGTAAAGGTTCATGGGACTTAGTAAC